TCTCAGGGACAAGAGTCACGTCTCATAATAAAAAGTCATTTTGAAGAGTAACATCCCACGAGTGAAAAGGCAGATTCACAAGCAAGAGTCATGTCTCAAAGGCAAGAGTCACGTCTCATAATGAAAAGTCATATTGAAGAGTCACATCCCACGAGTAAAAGGGTAGTTCCACAGGCAAAAGTCATGTTCCAGAGGCAGGAGTCACAGTCCACAGTCAAAAGTCATGTTCACAAGTGAAAAGTCATGACTCAAAGGCCCAAGCAGCAGCAGACCAAAGGAAATTCGGAAGGTTCCAGGCGTTGACATTCAGAAGCAGACAGGCCGTGGGGATGTGGTACCGGAACCAGCCAGATCCTAGAAAACAGAGGCTGGCACGAGGTGAAGAGCATTCCAAGACTACAAAAGGACTGGCCAGCCTCCCATTCAGGCAGATTGTTCATTCGCAAGAAGTGTGGAAGTGCTGGTGCACTTGTGCGCTGTAGTGAGGGGCAGAGCACTGAGGCCAGAGTGCTGCGCTAGAGAGAGAGTGAGAGAGAGGAAGACATTGTGCTGGCAGGGAGAAGGCAGCCATAGCTGTGCCAATGCAGAGTGTTAGTAGTAGACTTCAGATAGTTAGTAGGCATATCAGTGGGTGTATTCAAAGTAGGTCCTTGAGTAGTAGGTGTGTGAGTGCATGTAAGTAGGGAGAGAAGACACAGTGAGGAGGTAGACCGAGAGAGGAACAAGATAGAGAGAAGACCTTCCTCAACTAGGAGGAAGGACATCCATTGCTCTCGGCCGCTCGGGAGCGCGGTATTGTCAACTCCTCTCCCTCTTACTGATCCCCTTCCTTCATCTCGTTGATCTCCTCCAAAGATCTTATCTTTTTTTCCTTCTTCTATCTCCCCACCATTCCTTCTTCCCTCCTCTACCATCCCACCTAATAGGTCGCAATATCTAAAATTTCTATCGTGCAAGACGCGTATTTCCTCTCCTCGTGCTTCTATCACAATGTCGTTTATCCTATCGTCTGAAATTCATACCTAATGCGGTCGGATTAACGTTCACTCTCTTTTCCACCAACGCCGTGAATGGAAATAATTTTGGCGTTCTTGTTCCAAAGTTACGTGAATTCCTTTTTTACACAAAATTATTTTCGTTATTTATTTTTTAAAATTCAATTCCCTTCAGAAATTTGTGAAATAATATTTGGAATTTACCAAATTTAATTCTCATGAACTTGACTCAATTTCTACTTTCTGTCCCCCGTATAATTATGAAATTTTGCAATTCTTTTTTAAATTCCTTTGGAATTCTTTTGAAATTTCTTTGAAATTCCTCTTAATTTTTACAACATGTTGATAGATTTTCTTAATTTCATCAAAGTAATTTCAAAAATTCTTTCGACTTACTTTATTCGGTTATCATTAATTCCTTATGTCATTTCATCGTAAACTCATACTTTAGAAATTAGTTTTTTATTTTTATTTCAAATTGTCTTCAAATTTGTTTAAATTTTGGAAATACGTCAAGAAATTTTGTGTTTTCTCTCAAATTCGTTTATTCAATTTATCCTTATCTTTTCTATCACCTACCTGAACTCCCGACAATTTTCACGAAATTTGTGAAATTCTTTGTTTTTTTTTAAATTTTTATTCTAAATTTTGAATTTACGTCCAAACTAGGCTACCAGAGTGGCCCGGGGTCACTTGCCCGGCCGGGCCAAAAAAAATTAAAAAATTAAAAATGAAAACAATATTTTTAAATTTTAAATTTTATTTTAAATTTCGTGAAGATTTTTTTATTTTTTTTTTCTATTTTTAAACCGTTCCGCGAACCGACAGATCTGAAAAATTGCGCTTGAGACAACCGTTCCGCCAACCGACAGATCCGGTCAGATTTAAACAGTTCAGATCTGATCAGATGTCATCAGATCAGATCTTATAAGTTTTAATCAGATCAGATCTGATCACAACAAATCTTATCAGATCAGGTAAAAGGATGTCATCGGATAACGTCCAAGCAGATCGGTAAGACGTTAGAGTGTTGACTGTGTTTTGCATTTTTGATTCATTAGAAGTTGTTGAAGAGTCCTCCAATGAACCTTTGTGAGTTAAGTATTTGTGAATGGCCGATCACTTCTTTTGTAGATGATCAATTTTGCAGTGTATGCATGTATCTATGTGTGGAGAGAGAGAGAGAGAGAGAGAGAGAGAGAGAGAG